CCCCAAAACCCCAAAACCCCAAAACCCCGATTTTGGAATAAAAAATTGAATTTTAGTTTGGATTATTACTTTAGTTAAAGATGTTCGGATTTTGGGAAATAGAAGATGACTCATCAATGAAGCTTGAATTAGCTAGAGTGAATGGATTCTCTATTGGTGAGGATGAAGTGCAGGTAAGGAATGTTATGATGAAGATATGTTGCTTTAGAACAAATTAAATACTAATTTTATGATAAATATTAACTTTAACTATAAATAATTGTATTTTTATTTGAAAAGAGAAAGAATAAGCATATTAGTGATGACTTAATAAAATGGGAGTCTTATGATTTAGTTAACTGAAGAAGATTTGAATGTTAGCATCAATAATATTTTCACAAAAACTAGGAATTTAGGAACTAGTAAACGATCGATATCAAAGATTAATTTTCGACTAAAAAACTTTGAATATAGGCAAAAAGCTTGCTCACGGATTCATATGACTGAGAAGAAAAGCACTTAAATGTAGCTCATGAAAAGCCGATAACGCTTAATGAGGAAATTAGGTAATATTTATACCATAAACACCAATTTCGAATGATCTAAAATTTTATTTAATAGCTGGAACAATACTTTCTAAATTCTTTAAAGTGCTTTGATTTCTTTATAACAATGTTTTATTTTACTTTCCTAAACATAGAATGATTATCTTAGAAGCTCTTGCTTTAAAACTGAAGCTCTTTTTTAGTAAAAAAGCACAACCTCTAATTCTTATTCAGAAAAGAAGAGGAAAAAGATGAAACAAACCAAACATTAAATCCTCCGAAGGTTAAGCATCCACCAATTGAATGCTAATTTACTCATAATTTAGATAGACAAAAGCATAAAGGAAGAGAAGATTAGTGAAATTGACATCCAGTCTACTTTTATGAAGGTAAATTTTATCATAACTTTCAGCAAATGGAAGACTGTCCAATGAAGAATTAAGATACATATAAATACAATTCTTTCTCAGTCAACAACTTTGCTTGAATGAATAATTTTTCTTGAACTTGATGAGGATGGTAATAAGGTTATAAATAAATAGAAGATGAGCTAGCAAGTGGGATGCTAGATACCCCTCCTGATAAAATACTGAAGGCAATGGAATTATCTTCTGCTCTTAATCTCTCTATCTCTCAATCAAAGTTTCTTATTGTTCCTAAGGATAATCCTAGTGGACTAAACAAGGAATGCAAGGTTAACTCAACTGAAGTAAATGATTCAAATTATTCTAATGAATATCCTTTTCAATTAAATTCATAGAACTTTTAATAGAAAGAGCTTTTGGAGATTTTCTAATTTAATCTTAATTCTTTGATTTTTTACCTTTTAGGAGAAGTTTACTGGCGACAGCAACAAAATGAATACAAAGTCGTATAAATTTATGATAAGCATATCATTTTTATGGCATCATAAAGATACCTCAAATGAATCTATTGCCAAGAAGATTCCAAAATTTATTTTTAATCAAATCACTGATACCTTTACAAAGATATCAAGGTTCATCAGAAGTAAAGCAATACTAGATGAATATGATGATGAAGAGGAGTGCTCCTTATCTTCTGGATTCATATCTCAACTTACTCACTAAATACTTGACTTGATGGCTTGGCGAAGGCCTCTATTGTTGATCAACTTTTGTCTGAAATTAGATATTAGAAACTTTTGGGAGATAGAAGCCGAGACTTATATAGAAGAATAGAAAATACCCTTTTATTTACCAATCTTGAAAGAACTCATATATCATCGAGTGAAAAGAGATTAGATACAGGTTAAACTCTGTAATAACTTCAAGAGTTTCAAGAATAGGTTTATACATTAGTAGAGATATCTTTAATAAAGAATTTGGCAATGAAAAGAGAATTGAGAATCTTTTGAATTGACAAATGATTTATTGGACTCGGTAGCCTCTTCCTAAACTTTTTGGTTTAGGATATGATAATGATCGTTAAGTAAGAAAGTGTTCGATTCCTATGCTTACTCTTATTAGATGTAAGAAAAGACACACTCTGGAGGCAACCTAGATTATGGCATTAATTTTGTATTAGACAGCTTCGCTTTCCTTTATATGGTTTGAACTGGCAAACTAGTTAAAGTAAAAGTATCCTTTTCGAGAGTTGAGGCACTTTATATCCTGTATGTTCAAATTCACAAGCTTTACTTATTTATTTATAAACACTCACAGCTTCCCTTAAGCCACTCCTCTACACTATCCCTCTCTAACCCTGATCCTCCAATGTTTCCTATTTTCTTTCCTTTAAATCTTATTCTCTTCTAAATGTTCTACCTTACCCAATCCTTCTCAGAAATCCCAGTAAAGACCAACCCACCATCCAGTATACACGAAAACTCCATTACTTTGTCAAAAATTCAATAAATATATTTTATATTGGGGTTTTGGGGTTTTGGGGTTTTGGGGTTTTGGGG